GGTGCAAGATGAGAGGAATTATACCAGGAAAGTTTTGTTCTCAAAATGAGGGAGAAGAATAACTGAATCTCTTTATCCTTCTCTGTTGGGCATTTTGTGTGTGCTTATGAGCATCTGATTTAGGTGGGATTCTTGTGACTTTTCAGTAATCAGAGCCAAAGGGTGTAGGGACTGGCAATTCTATGACAGGGATTAAAGCATATACTATAGAGAAAATCTGGGAAGGTCAAAAGATTTACAACCATTTATTAATATCATCTACTTTGCAGTTAGGAAATACTTACTTTCTGTATATTAAGCAAGGGATAACGACTAACATTTGGAACACACATCGGAATGCACTAATTTCTACAGCATGGAGGTCTTGCACTTTTTTAACAAATAAAGAGCCCACTGAGAAAAGGAAGGCAGACAATAATGTGTAAAACAAGCCAAGTCCAGGACAGGGTGCTTTCTTCTTGGCTTCTGAAAAAGATTAAATTCTGGTTAGTCCTTACTTCCAAGTGTATGCTTTATCATTTTCATTTAGAAATTGAGAAAAATGGGACAGTATTAATGGCTAACAAGCTGCAAATATTACCTCCTAAGCATGTTTTTGATCGGAAACATTTTTCCCACCAAAAAATGAAGAACCATAGACAAAGGAAACAATTTAAACCTGTATTTTCTTAAATGCAATTTCACCCTATTAAAGGGATTTCCTTTAACTTGCTGAAGAGACATCCCTCACCTACAAGTCAAAAAGAAGTAAAAACTGTACAGAAGTCTTTTAAGAAATGCTTGTCAAGATGGCTAGAGAAAAATGCTTCCAAATGATATTTTGTATCATTTCACTGGTGAACTGTGCTTCATGAAGAAAGTGGTCTTTCTGGAAAACAGTTCATAACTGTTCTATGGCTACTTGATGATGAGCTGACTTCCCCCACAAGCCTGCGAGTGCCTGGAGGGGCCGCAGCTGTCTTGTTCATGCCTGGCACATGGAAAATCCTCAATAAATATTTGATGAATGAATGGATGTGAGAGAATTTCCTGGAAAGAGGCAGAGTGTAAAACCACTGGCAACAGCATGATTTAGGAAGGTTCTGTGTTTTGTTAATTTGAAGCATTAGTCAAATATTTGAACCTCTCATGGTTTTCCACATATCATTCATTTCAAACATAAACTTTAGAGGACAAGGGTGGCAGCTATCTACCCTTCTGACCCCAAAGTGCTTTTATTTTTCTTTTATCTTTTTAATCCTCACCCAAGGATACTGACGAGAGTGAAAGTAAGAGAAAGAGAATGAGAGAAACATCAGTATGAAAGAGAAACATCATTCATTCAGTTGCCTCCTGTACAGACCCTAAATCGGGATTGAACCAACAATATAGCTATGTGCCTGACCGGAAATCAAACCCATAACCTTTTGGTGTATGGATGCTCCAACTAAGTAAGCCTCCCATCCAGGGCCCAAAGTGCTTTATAAATACATTTTAAAATTAGAATTGTCATCTAATACCAACTTCCTGGTTAACCTGAGTCAGGACATTTGTGCTTTCTCTAGGCCTGTGGTCGGCAAACTGCAGCTCTTTGGCCCTTTGGGTGTGGCTTTTCCACAAAATACCACGGCCTGGGCGAGTCTATTTTGAAGAAGTGGCTTTAGAAGTTTAAGTTTAAAATATTTGGCTCTCAAAAGAAATTTCAGTCGTTGTACTGTTGATATTTGGCTCAGTTGGCAAATGAATTTGCCAACAATTCTCGGCCATCAACTATTCAATCTATTAATGATAGTCTGATTGAGCATTATACTTCTCTTCAGCCATTTTCTCTGTCTTAGTTGCCTAAAACAGGAGTAGAACCCTGTTTCAATCCCCCTGGCATTCAGGAGAGCAAAATGGAGAAGGGTGAGCAGAGAACTTCCTAAAAGGCCACACACTGAACTCACAAAAAAGGAGAGAATAAGGAGTAAACTTTACTGGCTCTCATTTGCTAAGAGCACGGCAGAGCTAAAAGATGTGTGGGTCCATGCAACTTGTAGTAAAACCAGGGTCATCATTCCATCTAGGAATGTACAATGTATTCTTCCACTATAGGACGTGTGTGTGTTTGTGTGTGTGTTAAAATGTCCTTCCATTTTAAAGGCAAACACCAGATATTGTATCTATCCTAGTGTTAGATAGATATCTTTGCTCACAAGTGACACATTTGCAAAGTGTGATGATGCAGTCTCCCTGGTGGCATTCTACATCTTGTCCTTTGCAGTAACAGATGCCATTCTGGTCAGAGACTTCACCTCTTCCTGCTCTAGGTGCACAGCTGAAGAGAATGATTGAACTGTCATGTTACAGATTTTACGTTGTCTAAGTGCCAGAGTCTCCACATTTTGTTCTGTAATCATGTGCTCAGATACTGCAGAACAAACTACACATACCTACTCAGCCCATTAGAAGGAAGCTTTAGAAGACTGCTAAGTTAAGCACCACCATTCAATACATGTTTTGGCTGCAGTTAGCCTTAGAATTTAGCTTCTGAAATTTCAGAATTCAAGTCCAAATAAAATAGTTTTTCTTCAAAGAAACCCAACCCATATATAGAACCTACAGTCTCAGACAGAAGGAGATCAAGAACAGAAAACACATTCCTGGTCTATAGTTAAAGGATCTTCTCCAACCTAAACTTCTCAATTTTTCTCCAGGAATATTTTAACATGCTACTTTAACTTTTTGAAGACTTAATTTCACACGCCTGGCTCTGATTATCTTTTCCTTAAAACACATTCACTCACCTATTTTCTTGCCTATGAACTCTTCTGGCCCATGCTTCCCAATGGGGACAGCACAGTTGGTACAAGGCCAGCTGAACTTGATTATTTGTTAATGGGGGTGAGAACTGACTCTACCCAGGCAACCCTCAGTCTCTTACTGAATAATAATTTCAATACTCTGTCAATGGAGATGAGCAAGAGTAGCATAACCCAGAGGCATTTGCTTATGTAATTAGCTACCAAGTTCATAACCCATTATAAGAATTTCTATTAATTTGGTGACTCTAAATAACTCAAATTAATTGGCCATAGTGCAATTTCCTGTGTTACGTAGAAGAAAACAGAAAAGTTGCTCAATTCTCTAATCTCTGCTTTAAACTGGTGAATCGAAATCCTGGTTGGGAATTAGAACCAAGTGGTACCGGTAATAACTTTTTAATGTTTTAAAAAGTCTTTATTGTTTAAAGTATTAAATATGACCCCCCTTTTCCCTTTTGATCCCTTCTAACCTGCCCCTGCCCCCAAACCCTGCCCCAGGCCTTCACCATACTATCAATTCTGTCCCTGGATTATACATATAAGCATACAAGTTATTTGGTTGATCTCTTCCCACCCACCTTACCCTAAAACTTTAATTCCCAAGCCCTGCCCTAGACCTACTGAAATAGGATCTCTGTAAAACTGTACAAAGCTCTACTGGCTAGAGAATCACTGTTAAAATCCTTCCAAGGGCAACTAAGGCATAGAACCAAGTCTAAGATCCACACAGCCCCTCAGGGAAATAAATAGGTGTATGTTGTCTGTGAAAGTTATCCAAGAATGTAAGAAAAATTGGTAAGTTTCAACCTGAACTTGAAAATGAGTTTTGTTGAGGTAACCAGTTGATTCAAGTGACTAAAATGATACTGTCACAAAGTTCAATGACAACAGTACTATGGTTTAAAGTGTTTCTATGGCAATCCTGTTTTTAATAACTATTGCTAAGCCTTATTGTTATCAACTTTCTTTGAAGTTATAAGACTCCACAAGATTCTAAGCGCCATCACTCATATTGGTTTGTCATTTTGCCATGTGCTGCCTGAGGGAACAGTATTCCTCTTCCATTCCCAAATGGGAAATGTTTAAGAGTTTGCAAAGCCTGATTCAGCATTCCATCAGAATGACATTTAGCCATAGGGTGATAAGGTGAGAAACTGATCTCTTCAAGGTCTGCACATCTGGCCAACCGCACTTGGGGGTAACTCTTGCTCTAGGGAGAGGCTCTACCATGCATAAAGGAATAGAATTCTGTTCATTTCTTTTAGCGTTTAGCACAAAAATGGAGCAAGGGTCATTTTCCTGGAGTTTATCAGAGAGGAGAGAAGCTGAGGTGCAGCAGGACATAGAAATCCCGAGTCACACTTAGGGGAGGTGACCCAGAAGACTGTGTAACTGTGTCTGGGAAGGGCATCTGCTTATTTCCCTCTTCCAAGCAGCTGCTCCAAGTGGGTGGTGGAGTTCAAGGAGAAATGTGCTTGAGGCTAATAGAAAGGGCCCCAGGCTAGGTTTCTGGCAAGCTGGTGCTGCAGAGACCTAAGCCAGATCTTCATAAAACAAAAAAGCCCAAGTCCTCACCTTCCTGGGCCTCACTTTCCTCATTTGTCAAAGTAAGTTGTTGCACAAGATCATGGGTTTTTCCCACGGGGTCCTTGGCTTGGGGGACGAATCCCTGAACCCCTTAACCACATAAGTAAGACTGTGCCTCTGCCTTCTTGTGCATCAGTTGCTAACAAGTCCTCCTAACCCCAACTCTGCCTTCCCAAGGTTCTGGGACAAACATTTTTTGACTCCAATGTTTTTCAACTTCCTCTTGGGGTACACCGTTTACCACCGAGATCAGTTTTCATGGTTAGCTTCCTCCCAGCCTGAGCCGGCTGTGTAATGGCCTTTCTCGCTGACCACCCAACCTCCGACCTGGTCCGGGAGCGCCCAACTGCAATCTGACTCCACCGACTTGCCCGCAACACTTTAATTATAGGAACAATTTAACAGTTTTAGAATCCCCAAGAGTTCCAAACACAATCAGAAACTTTCTCGGACTTCGCGCCGGCGGATACAGGGACTTCTGCGTTGCCGCCCACAGGTGACAGCTCCCAGGCTTTCCAGGGCTCTAGGCAGGGCAGAGGAGGGGGTCGTGGTCTGCAATGCGCCCCGCGCTAGCGCCCGCCCGGCCCCCCAAGGGCGAGACCGGCGCCCCGGTCGGCACCCCGCACTCACCGGGCTGCGCGCGCGAACCGCACGGCGAGGAGCGGCACAGCCAGCACCAGCTGGGGCCCGGCGTTTCCACTGCCTCCGCCGGCTCTTCCCGCACGGCCTGGGCGTCCTCACTGGTGGACGGAGTTGTGTCCTCTGTCAGCGGCAGCCCGGGCTCCCGCAGCTCGGCGACCCCGATGCTGCCGAGGGGCCGCATCGCGCGGCGGGTGCTCTCCCCGCGGCCGTCGCAGCGCCCGGCGCGGAGCTGGCTGGCTGGCTCTTCCGGCGGCGGGGCGGGGGCGCGCCTGCGCGCGCCGCCCTCCTGTGCCCGGGCAGGGCTGTCCTTCGCTGCCCTCCCACCTCCAGCTCCCTACCCTCCTGTGCTGCTGGAGGTCGGCCAGCTGTCTGATGGGGTTTCCTTGGCCACAGCTGACCCGAAGGTGTCCACCCCTCTGCTGCGGTCTCGCTAGACTGGCCAGAGGTTTGGAGTCATCTTTCCCAAGGCACACTGGACCCCTTCTCTTGGGCAGGCTTTGAGGAGGTTAGGAGGGTACCCGTTTAGTTATTGGTGTGGCACCATAATCACTTCTCCAAGCTTTGTCAAGCCCTGTTTTCCCCAAGACTCATAGCCACTTACCCAAGGAAGGTACAATGCTACTGGTTCTAGTGCAAACCACATGACCAGTGATATGCTAGGGAAAAACTAAGTTACCCCAGGATGTGGCCCCTCCCTTCAATTGACTGTCCCTTGCTAGACACCTACGGTTTCCACCTTGGTGACCTTCTGTACCTGGCCCATTTTCCTCCCTTTGCTTACCCTAACTGCCTACAACAGAAGGACCAATAACAAAGAACATATAAATGAGTCCTGTGTCCCATGTGGAAAATTTATGCCTGTCACTACTTGAGCCAATTAAGCAGAGACACCGCTGAATAATATATGAGTATTTATTCTAATAACTAGAGACCCGGTGCACAAAATTCGTGCATGGGGAGGGGCGGGTGTCCCTCAGCCCAGCCTGCACCCTCTCACAATCCAGGACTGCTAACTCCCAACTGCTTGCCTGCCTTCCTTCCTGCCTGCCGGCCTGCCTGATTTCCCCAACCACTTCTGCTCCCAACTGCTCCCCTGCCTGCCTTCCTGATTGCCCCTAACCACTTCTGCCTGCCAGCCTGATCGCCCCTAACTACTCCTCTGCCAGCCTGATCAACGCCTAACTGCTCCCCTATTAGCCCAATTATCCCTAACTGCCATATAAAGAGGTAATATGCAAATTGACAATCACTCCAACACACAAGATGGCTGCCCCCATGTGGACACAAGATGGCTGCCACAAGATGGCCAACAGGGGAGGGCAGCTGGGAGGAACCAGGCCTGCAAGGGAGGGCAATTGGGGCAACCAGGCTTATGAATCTTTTCCATCCAAGTAGTATCCTCATAGCTAAAAAAATGTGAAGTTTGAACTCTAAACTTTAATTCCCGGGAACAGAAATTAAGCCTTTTTTAGAAATGGGTCCTGTGTCTCATGTGGGAAATTTATGTCAACTTTCCATTCTGTTCCCTCATATATTTATCTCAGTACCATTTTTCATATAACTCATTCAACTAATGTTGTTTGCATGTCTGCACTGGTCCATTTACAATTCTTAATAGAGGCAGTGTGGGGAACAAAGGAGACTGGGCTACATTCAGTCCTCACCGTGATAGGAGTGGGGATGATGAAGGAAAAAGATGCCAGCATTACCTACCTTTACCTAATGGGCTGTGCCTTGTTTAGCTTCCTGTTTCTTTCCAGTTTGACATATTGGCCTAGGAGTAAGGACATTGAGTTCTCTGTGGTTGCATGGGTCTAGGCAAATTTCAGCTCTCTCATTTTCTATTTTCTCAGCTCAGAAGGCACAGTTCTGGATTCCCAAGCAATCGCTGTAGGGCAGAAAACTGCCCTTCAGGCCTTGTCATTGGCTGAGACTTGCTCCATTCCTTGCTTTCCTACTTTCATCTGTTCCCACACTGCCAAAGGGAGCTCCCATGTAAATGATTTCTAGCACCCCACAGAACCTGTATCCTCCTGTGGGAACTTGCTTTCTGTTTACAGATTCTTTGGGAGTGAGGGTGCCTGAACTTGAGACTAGGCCCTAGATAATAAAATTGGTTATAAATTTGGGATTTGGATTCTACCCAGTACACATTTTAATAACTACCATTTACAAAATGCTCAAAATATGCCAAGCACTATTAAGTGCATGATTTCACTTAATTGAAAGGTGAGGTTTTTTTCAGGCAGTTCAGTAAGTATTAAAAGCAGGGCTCTGGAGTTAGACAGCCTGAGTTTCCATTCTGGCTGTCTTACCAGGTGTGTGGCTTCAGAAAAGTGACTTAGCCTCTTTCTGAACCTCTATTTTCGTTTCTATAATATAATCTAGCTGCTGTGAGAATGAAGTAAGAGAAAAACGTAAAACACCAGATAGTAAGTACTCTTTAAAAGAAGAAGAAGAAGAAGAAGAAGAAGAAGAAGAAGAAGAAGAAGAAGAAGAAGAGAGGAAGGAGGAGGAGGAGGAGGAGGAGGAGGAGGAGGAGGAGGAGGAGGAGGAGGAGGAGGAGGAGGGGGAGGAGGAGGAAGAGGAGGAGGAAAAGAGGTGTGCATTCTATTATCTCCATTTTACAGATGAGAACATTGAGGCTCAGAGATGTTAAACAACTTGCCAAAGTCACATTGATTGGTTAGGGCATAGATAGGTTTGGAATCCAGGAATGTCTGAAGTCAAAGTCATGGTCCAGACAACTCTACTCATCCAGAAGACTTGTTACCAGGTTTGCTGGTTTCTGAGAGGACCTCCTTAGAGCATAGTTTCTTTTACATTGAATCCTGACTTGGACCTTAAGGCCATTACTATGGCAACATTCTATGACTACTTTCTATGTTACAGTCATGCTGTGTAGTTTGCATTTTGACTTTCTTGGAGTAAAATGCTATGAATAAAGAAGAGCAGTAATCTTTTAATGCTACTAACAGAAGTCAACCTATTTCCTTATCTGCTATGAGAACAGTTATGCCCCAGTGACCATAGCTCTGATCTCTTTTTATCTCACATCTGTTGTTCAAAGCTGGGGATCTTAGCTAGTGGGGTAGGAAGAGTTTATAGGCAATTTGCCAAGTGAATAGGTACCCTCAAATAACACAGCTCTGATTTTAGTCCCTTCCTGGATCTTCTGCCTGTCTGAACCATCCTACTGTTTTCCCTCCACTCTCTTACTGTCTGCTCCATTTCTCTTTTCCCATTACCAGAGTTGATCTTCTTCCAACTTTGCATGCTGTCAAACAAAAAGGGGGAAATATTAATTTTTAATAATAAAAATCCTCAAAGTGGAAGAAGGCTTGGGCAAGGTGTCAGTGAGTAGAGACTTCCAGTACCACTTAAGAGACAAACAGCTATACCACAGATACACACACATATATATAGTTCTTGGCTACTACAACTGAATCAGAAGCCAGCACCAGTCTTCTTCTATTTTTAAATTAAAAGAATTCTTTATTTTAAATGTATATAGTGCCATAATTCATCAAAAAACTTATAGTAGTTAATCACCTCTTAAATATGATGGTATAAATAAATAATGGATTCAGTCAAGTTTCTTTAAAGTTAACTGTATGCTATGAAGTATTCTAAGAAAGGAAATCATGCCACGTTCCATTCCATTAAAGGGGATTAAAAAAAGTATAAGCTAATTTGGGTAGACCTAGCAATTTCCTGGGTATTATCCTTCTGTATAAACCTGACTCTTTATATTAAAACCATATTCTGGTTTCCTACCAGTAAGTAAGAAATTCCTTAACAGAGGCCTAGAAATGGCCTTACTGTCATATACTTCTTCACCTCCAGATGGTCACTTGATGCTCTGATGTAGACAGTATAGAATGTCTGCTATTTCACCTCTGCTAATCTTCCCAGGAAGAGAATTCCATTCCAGTCATTGCTTCCACCTTGACCTTCCAAATTCCACTGCTGTGAGGAGGAGCCATCACAGATTGCCATAGCAACATAGCCTTTGTGACTCAGTAGATCAACCACTTTCAGGCACTGTTCAACTGATACCTGGTACAGTTGATTATTCCTCCCAAATGTCCAATGCTGGGATCCTCCCAACCCATGACACTTCATGAGTCTGGATGGGTCAGATGATGGAGTTTCTGACATCCAAGCAAAGGAAATTACTTAAAACCAATACATGCTCTTCATTATAAATCTAGTTCTAATTTGGGTCACTGTAGTCACATGCCTTAAACACTTCCAGGCCTCTCTTCTGACTTGGGTGGCTCTGAGCCACCAGACAATTGCCAGTCTGGTGGTGATAAAACTTCCATGCTGAAGGGTTTTGGGGTGTTTTGACCGCCTGTTGATAAAAATGGGTTGCTGGGGTTTGGCATTGGGCCCAGATATCTGCATCTCTAGGTAAGGGCTCTCCAAATGCCATTTAAATAATTTACAACCCAACTTCTTAATTCAACACACTCACTGACATTTCCATAGCTGCTTGTCCTCAGGTCAGGTCTTAAGGAAAAATACTGCTCCTTATATTAATCCAACCAAATGTGTTTCAGCCTCAAGGAATTGTGTCCTGGCCTTCAGAGGAACCATAAGGCCGCCTTTTCCAGAAAACGTGTCCGACTCTGGAGCAAGGGATAATGAAGAGCTTACCCCAACACAGCCAGATCTGAAATGATCTTTCCAAGTTTTCTCCTCCCCAGATATCCATGCTGCTGTCATACTGCCCAAGTTCACTGAAGTAGCTTCTATTCATGCCAAACAATCCTCCCACCATTGTAGGTGGTGCAGTAGCTCCTTCTGGTCCTCCGAGCTCAGAAAGGAGAGCAAGATCCCATTTGAAGTGCAATTCCCAGTTGAACCCTCCACGTACCACAGGGGATGAGCTGTAGGCCAGCGTGTCTGCACTGATTATATCGATCACCAGACACACCACTATCCGCGGTCCTCCCAGATGGCAGCCAGCAAGAGCTGCAGCCATGTTACATTCACTTCACAGTGGCTGTCCAGGAACACCAGGACTTCTGCTGCATGAGCTGCTCCTAACATTCTCCTTGAATTAATCCCTCACGCTTTGTATTTCTTATTAATTTTTCCAGGGAGGTTATTTGACAAATTCATCTAATTCTGCTTTCATATCATTGAAGTCACTGTTGTCATTCACAAGGATGA